AACATCTAACCATAAGGTAAGCAAGGATCAAATACAATACTAAAAAAAAATAAATAAATAAAATAAATATATAATAATATATAAAACCTAATATAATACAATATATTTGCAGCCATACAACCTCAAGCTGACATCTCCCATCTTCGGGATAAATTAACAAGGAGGAGCTTAACATTTCACATCAAATGTTTTAAATTTTTAAAATTTTTTAAATATTTTAACATTGGTGTTTTAACTTGAGGGCAGTTTCGGATGGAATGTGAGAATTGAGAGTGCATTCAACTATCCTAGCAAGTGTTGTGCTTTTACACGTCGACATATTGTAGCAGCGTCCACGCAGCAAACATAACTGTGTACATCTTAAACAACGACAGTGTTTTCTTAATTGTACTAAGTGCCTCTGATGATGGTTATGTTTAACCGAAACATGTAAGGCAGAAGTGATAAAGAAGTGACCTACAAATTGTTACACTCGACGGACTTTCTATTAACATTCTGAATTCGTCTCCATTTCAGGCCGGTAAAACTAATTCTGACCGCCTCTGTCGTCTAGTGGTCTGAGTTCATGCCTGGCGATACAGAGGACCCGGGTTCGATTCCCGTCGCTACAAGACTTTCTGAGAATTAGTGTGTTTGGAAAGGGGTCCGCTCAGCCTCGTGACGATAATTGAGGAGCTATTTCAAGGATATAGCGGCTCCGGTATAGAAAACAGAGACTAACGGTCGTGGGTATCCGCTGCGCTTACAACGTGACACTCTCTATCTCCAAAGTTGGCAGTAACATCGCCGATAAGCGGCGATAGCTCGGTCGGTATAGTTCGTTTGCGGGCTACAGGCCACGGAGTTTGTTTCGAAAACTAATTCTGGTTGTTAGTTATATATTATTTTAATCCTGCTTTTAAAAGAGAAAGAGGGCTAGGACTGCAATGACTGTTCACAAATTTTGAGAATATTTCATCTGTTAAAATACTGTATGCATTTCGATTAGAATGTAAGAGCTACCCATACTTAGGTATATAACTCTTATGCGATATAACGCCGATCAGCCCGGTGAAAGTGAACCAACGTTTCGGAGGAACATATCGCCTACATCTTGAGGATATAGGATTAGGCCAAGCTGAAAAACAACATGAAGTTGGAAGCAAGCTCTGCTGAAGATCGAGGCGATATATTCCTCCGAAACATCGGTTATCATTTCTTAGACTTACTTGTTTTACCTCAGGCTCTCCGTACAAATTCTGAGCCAATATCATTGAAAAGGCTATGGCTGATTCCTAATGCAAATCCTCTAATATCAGGTCCTCCATTTCGACGGTTTAATAACGCATGCAGTTGAAAAGGTGAACTTCCTAAATAAACAAAGGAGCCGCTGCTTAAAACAGACATCGATGGAAAATAGTGTTCCATTTCAGAACATTGAAAGATGACAAGAATGTGCCAGCTTAAATAATGTATGTGTTAATTCAAAGATCTTATAACTAATCTAAAACTGTATTAATTTCAGGGAGATTCTGTTATAAAAAACTAATTACAAGTGAAGTCAACAATGAAGCGTTGGTCAGGTCGTGTTGCCGTGGTAACAGGAGCCAGTGCTGGGATAGGAGCAGCCATCGCTGAAGAACTTGTGAAGAAAGGACTCAAAGTGGTGGGACTGGCACGCAGAGTGGAGAGGGTTGAGGTGAGAGGAGCAGTACACTAACTCAAACTAAGGTCTATGCTTTCATACAACTGTCATATTTACCCGAAATGACGCACGTTCTTCCATATTAACACATCATAAATTTAGCACTGGCACACATACAATATGGCAACACAATTATCAATGATTATTTTTATATTATTTAAATGATTTCGTATTTCCCTTTATTTGTAGTACATTTTATTATGAAAAATACTATCTTATAGGATATAAAACCGTGTAGTCCGGCTGAATAGTGAACGTCTATCAGGCTACACGGCGTCATATCCTATAGTAAGCACAGTAAGAAGATCAAAAACAACATAATTCATAATCAGGATTACGGAACTTTTAGAATCTGTACATCATCTGCTATTCTAAAGAACACGACGCTTGAAGTCAAGTAATTCTGGTTTGTTCCTTCTAACTGACCCAACAGAGTAGGTCCCCCAATAGCAACAGAAAACGAAAACAAATCCATTTTCAGAAACACTGTGTTCTTTAGAGTGCTACAAATGATGGAATCCAAAAATGCATAATCTACAATGTTCTATATCATCGTTAGAACATTTTAGAATGATTATATAATATTCTTTCGCTCTTGGTGGTGAAAGAGATGTACTGTGGAAAACATGGTACATTCCTGTTATGCTAAAGCCTTCATGACGATGATATGAGATGTTTCAAACTTTATTCTGGACTTTTTCAATTGTCCAAATTTATTAAAACCACTGACTTTCGGAAGTTGGTTTCACTTGCGTCTTCAGGTGAACAGGATACGAGGGAAAAACTATTCTGTTGGGCCCTTAGGTACAGCTGTTATTAAGACCAAATGAAATTGGGAACATAACCTATTTCAGAATCGTGGCGGTTTTAATAAACTTGGACGATGTGTGAAATCCAAAGTAATAAATTTAATCAAGGCAAGATTTTCTTGAACTCAAGATTATCTTGAAGATTTCTTACCATTTAGGACATAACGCCGTTTGCACCTCACAACACGGAACTCTTCAAAACCACCGCAGTGACATTCTCAAACCCAACACAGCATTTCCTTCCTGGTCATATCATTTACTAATTGCGCACTACATGACTCATACAGCAACCTCTGAAGGATGCAGGCGTCTTGATTAGAATACCCTGCGATCCGTTCAGCAGTCCTCACATCAACGCTCATGCGTGTGTAATTTTTCAGGAAAACGCAAAGTTGCTCCGATCTGAACCAGGGAAGCTGCATCCACTCAGATGTGACGTCAGCAAAGAATCAAATGTTAAGGAGGCCTTCAAATGGGTCAAGTCAAACCTGGGTGTAGTGGACATCCTCGTCAATAACGCCGGGGTATGCGACTTCAACAATCTTACAGGTAAATTGTTTGTGAACGAAATGTTAACAATTTGCTGCCACATTTTCATTGACGAGGACTTTCTGTCTCTCGTTTATTATGGCTGACCGCGGATATGCGATTGCGTTTATTTCTTCGGATATAATGCCGTTCCTAACACGAGTCACACGAAAACTAGCAAGGATGAAATTAATAACGAATTGAAAATCACTTGTATAGAATGTATTGAATATCTATGCACAGAATGAAAGGTTATCCATACACAGGCCCCAAAGAAGTGTACAAAACATTTTATCTTTACACATATCAAAGAGAAAACCTAATCACTTTAAAACGTTTCAATGACGATACAGACACAGACAGCATGGCATTCGCAAAGGACTTATATTTAAATGAGGAAAAAAGGCTAAAAATATGTTCAAAGGGAATTTATTACTCGTGATCTATTCAATTCTGCTAACAAGCTTATGTAGACCCTGTAACACAGAGCAGCCACCCGTACTTTCCACTCACAAGCGTCAACTGGCAGTTTGAAGCAAATTAGTACACTCTACAATTTCTACTGGGTTTGAGGGCTCTCACAGCGGTCACTATGAAGTGTTCTGTCTCCTGGGATGTTATGCTACGTATCCAGTAAAAGTCAACCGATATTTTGAAGGAACATATGGTCTCCAGCTTCAAGGTGGAAGAGTAAGCTAAGAAAGAAAGCAACATGAAGCAGGCATAGAAGGAACCTGAAGATGAAAGCAATATATTTGTCCGAAACTTGGTCTGATTTTCACCTGACTACACGGCGATACACTTCAGAAGAGAGAGAACTATAAGCTTATTTTTGATTGCGTATTTCAGCACCAAGATTAAACTTCAGGAATCCTGTAATTGCCTTAAGAATTTTGAATATGTTTCTTGTACACAGTTTAACGCACAATTCATTGTGGTTTACAGACGGGCCACCGGAGAAGTGGAGGAACATCATAGACATTAATGTTCTGGGCCTCAGTATGTGCACAAGAGAAGCCATTCAGAGCATGCGGGAGAAGGCGGTGGATGACGGTCACATTATTAACATTAACAGGTACGTAGCGAGATTCTGTCTCTTTTTGATTTGATGTTCTCAGGGAGATAGTTCTCAAGTTCTCTGGTAGAGTTTCATCGCCGTTTCAGAAGAAGGTACTGCATCCATCCTCAGCATAAAGAATCACTGAGAAAGCAATGAGCCTCTGCTTGTGGTTACCTAGGCTTTCATTTTTATTGCTAGTGGGGTGGGACTAAGTCCCTTGTACTGCAGCCACTTCTGGCCTATTGTACCAGCCCCGATTGATAGGCTAGGGTGATTGCGGAGCAATTGGTGGAATGAAGATTGGCAGGGGAAACCGAAGTACTCGGAGAAAACCTGCCCCAGCGCCACTTTGTCCACCACAAATCTCACTTGACCAGAACCGGGATCAAACCCGGGGCGCTGCGATGGGAAGCCAGCGACTAACCGCTTGAGCTATGGTGCGGCCCTTACCTGCGCTTAGTCTTTGTCCCTAAAGATTTAGTACGTTTATTCTAAGGGTCAGAAAATTCATAGCAGATTATACGGCGTCACATCCCAGATCACAGTATCGTACTGTT